CTACCATGAAAATCATCTCTTATCCAAGTTCTATAGAAGAGACAGAACTAGTCGCTCTTCCTCTGTACTTTTTTTCATCAGTTGTATTATAAGGCTATGTTAGACTGGGTTCTCTAGAGAAACAAAACCAGTAAAGCTTATACATAGAGAGAAAGACAAATTCATCTTAGAAAAATAGCTCTCACACTTATAGAAGCTGGCAGTTCCCAACTTCTTGGATCAAATGTCAAGCTGGAGGCTTTTCCCAACTCACGAAGGTGCAGGGCCTAAGGAGCTCAAGGTTGGCAGGCATTATACTGGCTATTGACTACAACATATGATGAATCCAAGATCTCCTGCCGAATGATGGATTGTTCACTCACAGACAGTTGTAGACAGCACAACAGAATCCCAATCCACAAAAGAATGTTTCTTTTCCCAAGATGTCCATAAATATACTGGAAGCAGCCCACATCCCTAGGAAAACTCCCTTTCAACAGATTGGCTGTTCAACACATACACATCTGATCCCATCATTGGAGCAACCCACATCACAATTGCTTAAACCACACAGAATTGTGGTGCAGCCAAGTTGACACACAGCTCCAACTGTCACAGAGGCTGATCTTCAGGTTAAACATTATCTCATTATTTTATATAACCATGTACAAAGTTTATCTGATTAAATAAAGTGCATTTCAGAATATTTAATCACACAGTTTATACTTGAAGTAATATCTATAATCTGTTTAATGTTATTACATAATAGATATAGTTGCCTTTTTCATTTAATCCTCATATATATCTTAAAAACTAGAAAATATCATCTTGATTTAATACATGAAAAGCTGAAATTTTGAGGAAGGATAATTTGCCTAAAATTACAAAGCCACTGCAAGGTAGAATCTGTCTAACTCCCATATCTAAATATTTGCAATACTGTCAAATAAATACATATTATATATAACTAGGCTAACCAGCTGTTGCAAGGAAAATATGTTTTTCAATTCAAGGTAATGAAAAAGGACTAACAGATAGACTTAGAGGGGCTTGAGGGAGATTAAGTATACAAGCAAACAAATATTTAATCGACTAATGAAAACTTTTTAAAAATATTTTTTTCCTAATTTATTTATATTATAGTACAAATCTTTAAGACATTTTTTTTTGCTGTCAAAGAATATAGATTATGATTTTACTCTGTGTAAAAGCTTCTATAAGTGTATCATGATAATATGTTGCATTAGTTCATTAACTTGAACTAAAAATCCTAAATCTTGATTAGTTTGAAAGTTAACTGGCATTTAAAATTAAGAGTCAGGGCTACTTAAAAAATGTTATTTCATTACACAATTTATACAAAATAGATATCTTTCTTTGTATTCTTACTTATGTATTCCTAAAGGAACATCCAACCTCTTTCTCATGAACTAAGTTCCTTTTCTTATTACATCTATAAGGCAAAATTTCTTTTAAAGAGTTCACCAAAAGCATTTTCATTCAGATTCCAGGGACCCAAGAATAAGCTCCATTTGCCAAGGATAGCAGGGACATATGGGAGGCTTACAATGGGAAAGGAGAGAGGTGGTGAGCATGTAAGTGCTGCCAACTACTCAACAGAGGAGCACAGTACCCTGCTTACTTAGATAAAATCCAAAGAAAACAAAAATCGTGGGCAAGTCACTTCAACATAAAATCACCAATTAAATATAAACACAAAAATGTCATAATGCCTCAGAGACAAAAGAGCATCACAATGTGCACAAAAAAGCAACAGAAGGCAAGAGAAACAAGTGACCAGAATATGGACCCAAAACACATCCCTGAGGAAGATGCAGCATTGGGACTCCCTGATACGGAATTAAAAGAATTACATTTAGGTATCTTCCATTAATTGAGAGATAGAGCAAAGAAAACACTGATAAAATTCAGGAAAACACAGAGAAAACCCTAGAACAATTTCAAAAGACAACTGTGGTAGTTATGTTTGTGTGTCAACTTGGCTGGGCCTGGTTGAATGGCTGGGCAGCTGGTGGTAGTTATTATCCATGATGAGACTGGCAATCAACTTCATGGTGGGATCTACCACAAGGAGCTGAGAAGCTGAGTTTGGGATGTGGTCTGCTTCCTGTATATAAGAAGAAGCCTTGGGAATGGTCTCTAGCCTCTGGCACACCTGGACCCTGCATGTAGCCAAGTTGTTGCTCAGCAGTCTGCTATGCTCTGCTGACCCTGGGACTTACAATGGACTTAAGTTAATGGCCTGCCGTGTGGTCTGATAACATTGGGACTGTGCCTTTTACTTCCCAACTTTGGGGCTTCTCAGCCTCAGCAGCCAGCTGAAGTCTGAGTGAAGAAACACCTCTAGCTCCAGTGGGCTGGTAGCAGGAGGCAGAGCTGGACCCCAAGGTTGAGGGGCTTTCACCCAGCCCCCAGAGCATGGCACTTTGAACTTGGAATTAAAGCCTCCAAATTGTAAGAATAAACTCCTGTTTGATAAGGCCATCCCATTTGTGGTATATTTCTTGTCAGAGCAGCACTAGGTAACCAGAACAACAATACAAGAACAAAAGGACAAAATAACTGAAAAATGAGAAATGATACAAAATCTCCACATACAAATCAAGAAGATTAATACTAAATTTTCAGAAATAAATACTGCATTGAATGGGCAAAGGAGTAGAACTGAATCAATGGAAGACAGAATTAGCAAGATTGAAGGCAAATATCTCAATATTTCTTTATAAGGCACTCAATCAGAAAAAACATCAAAACATAATGAAGAAAGCCCAAGGTTCATGTGGGATACCATCAAAAGGAATAACCTATGTGTCATCAGAATTCCAGAACAAGAAGAGACAAATAAAACCACACAAAAAATGGTTGAAGATCTCTTGGAAGAGAATTTTCCTGGTATGATGAAAAGTGAGAATATATCCATTCAAGAAGTCCAACGAATCCCAAACAGGATAGACCCCAAAAGAAAATCACCAAGACGTATCATCATCAAACTCACCAAAACTAAAGACAAAGAAAGTATCCTGAAAGCAGTACAGGAAAAACAAAAAGTTACCTACAAGGGGCAACCAATAAGACTAATCTCAGATTTCTCACAGAAACCATGCAAGTGAGAAGACAATGGGATGGTATATATAAAACCCTAAAAGAGAAAAATTTCCAACCAAGAATTATGTACCCACCAAAACTGTCCCTCAAATATGATGGTGAAATTAGGAC